GAAAGGCCCAGTTGAATTTGGCAAATGCCTAGTACAAGCTTTATGTGTTCAACTTAAAGCACAAAATCAATCCAGATATAAATTTGTGATTCTCTTCTATTTCAGCAAAGAGGAAGCCCTCCTCTAACCCATACCAAGGAAAATTATGCAGAAAGTTGAAGCTAGAAGTCAGAACTTCACAATCCTTGGTATTATACTTCTTTGTTCAAAAGAGAAAGGTAAATGGAAATAGAACTGTAGTACTTTTATTTTTTTTGACACCTCACTTTGTAAAGATCACAGTAATTTAACAGAGGCATCACTGTTTTCCAGGAATCTATGCATTCCTGTGTTCTAAATGTCGGCTAGCAACTGAACTCAGGATTCCAAAATCAAAAATCCATCCCACTGACCTTAAGCTTTGGTGAACTTTAGAAGGATAACACTGAAATAATTCTATACAATAAAACATTTAAAATATATATTTCATCTACAGATAGAGCATAATGGTAAGGAAGGAGAAAATTGGCCTGATTTGCCATTAAATCCACTGATATATTTTAGAAGATCTAAAACAAGAAGCTTGCGTTCGTATGTTTTCCATTCATGTCATGAATTAGTCCTAACATAGAGGTTTGCTTCAGCTTGACAAATACCAGATACGTGAACAAATTACAAATATCTGCTACAAAAATTTAGTATGTTATAACACAGACTTTCTTATCACTTGGAATTTCAGAATAAAGTGACAACAAACCTTTTATCAAGAAGTCAAGGCACAAACTAGAACAATTTCCACTCTTCATCTGGTAATAAAACACTCAAAAGTGAACTTTAACTTTGTTCAGTCATCAGTCTTTAATTGACAAGAATGAGGATACAGCAGAGACAAATTCTTCAGATCCCAAAGAAACAAAAGACCAGCAACCCCTCAAACGTTCACCTCAGAGATGAGCAATAATCAATCTCAATGGGCACAATGCTATAAACGGTATAAGCACATTATGATAGGCATTATGAAACAATCAGATTCATCTACTTGATTTTGTCCCCCATCCCCCAAATGGAATACATTTCTGGGATCATTCTTAATTAAAAAAATTCTTCTGACACTGATGGAGATACATCCCTTTTACAATGCATTATTCAATTTTCCCATTAACTTCTATTCAGTACTCAAAGGCAGCAAATCAGAAGACATTTCTAAATGAGATGTTCCTCTGCTAAGATTTTAATATTATTTTTCAATCCCCCAGAATGCCAACAAAAATATTTTGTTATCATTTAAACTTAAAAGCAAACCTATTACTTCTAACCTAACCAACCACATTCACCCTCATTATGGCTTTAAGACTTAAAAGCTGGCTTTAAACTTAACTAAACTCCCTGCAAACCAAAAGGTACATGGGTGTTGGTAGTAAAATGTGATAAAACTATAATTGAGATGAAAGTATTTTTCTATTTAGTTGACCTAAAATATTTAACAGTATTCATTTGCTCTACAAACATTACACATTTACAGGCCAGACAAAAAGTTATAAAACTGGACAACAGTCTCTGCATTTTAGCGAGGGATATCCAAAAACATCTTTTGTGCAACCAGTTACTGACAGTTCTTTCCTATAGTAGCTACAGAAGAAAACACTCATCCACACTTGAACAAGGAAGTGGCTTTCTGCAAGATGGAATAAAAACAGTATCAAATTGTCAATGGATTCCAGCACCTGGAACACCCAGGCCAACAAAATCAAGTTTCCCAACCAAAAACCGTACCAACAACTCCCAGACTCTCAATATGCGGTCATCAAAATATTTTACATGTCAAAGAATGGGAAAGAAGCCTAAAGTGTACTGGTATTAACACATAACAATATGTTCCAAGTAACTACAACAATGGTTTCTAAAGTGTCACATTTTTCACCTAACAGATTTGAACATTAAAAAATTAAAATTATGCATGACAAACCATAAACAAAGTAATCAACATTTAACCAAACATATGGAAGTGATATAAAAATGCATTAAACTGCCCAATTAATACATACTAAGCACATCTTCATTAACTTTTATGTAAACATGCCAAACATTTCATTTTATTCATAAATTAAATTACCATAAAGTTATTTGAACCACCTGTTACAGTTCTTCTCAATTTTTTTTAAAAAACAATTCTTGGAAAATGCCATAACACAATTACTTTCTACTAAATCCAGAAATCCTCCATTCTATAAAAAATACCAAATTTCAAAACAAGTACAACCAGTCTTGTATTTCTATAATTTAAAAAAAAAAAATCTCCCAACATGTCCAGACTTGAAGGATTTTTTTTCAACTGCAAACTCTCTGAAATGCATTAACAATATACACTAGTTAACAAGGTCCCAGGCAATTCTTGTTGCTAAGACTGCATTTTACAAAAATTACACCATTTCAAACCATTCAAGCAAGAAGCTCTAAGAGAAACTCCAGTCACAAGCCTCTTCAACTAACCTTCACTTGCCACCACTTTTTCAAGTTATATTAACTAGCATCACCCTATCAATGAATAATACAAAATGGTCCCTGTCAACCACCCCAATTTACATTAGGCGAACTCTGGGAGTCCAGGAGCCAAGGTGAGTTTTAGGGCCCAGAAATCTCTTAAGCCTGCAATTCTTAGTACACACCATCCAGCTGAATGAATGTTTAGCACTTAATAACCCCGAGTAACCTTCACCGGAGCCCCTCGGATTTTACACTATACAGCACACACTGGAGGCACACAAAAAGTCCACAAGCTTTCAACCCAGCAGCTAAGCCTGCTGCTCTTGTGTCCACCCTTGTCACTAACCTGTAGCTCCTAAAAGGCCCGCCCACCCACTGCACGTGGCTGTAAACTAGCGCAGCCAACCTTCAGACAAACTCAATTAACTCTACATCAAAAGCACCCACCCTCTACATCCCACCGACCTCGTCCTCCTTCAGTATGGGAGGCTCCACTCCCTAGCGAGTTCTAAGGGTGCTGGTCATGGCAGCCCATTCCCTTCTTGGGAACCAAGTACCTGGCATCTTACAATTCTCAAGGCTCGGAGGCTTACTCACCCCCCACTTTTTTTGCTTCAGAGGCTGGCTTCTCAAATTGCCACACCCAGGAGAGTAAGCCCCTCCCCAGCATGGGCCCTGGAAGCATCTCCCTGCTACCCCCTCTACCTTCAGGCCACGAAGGCGGCCGCTTCAGAGACTTCCTTCCTGGACGCTGCAGTGTACCGACTACAGCTTCCTCCCCACAGGTGTGTCCCGATTGTAGCCCCTTCTTTTGCTGGCAGGCCACAGGGGCCTCCTTTCAATTCTGGGTTGAGGGAGTGTCCTCACTATTATCTCCCCACTTCGGAGCACAGAGGTTTAGGTATCAATCTTCCCCATTAGGGTAATACGTGTATTTTCACGGCAGGTCCCGTTAGTCTGCAGGCCGACAGGCCACCCAGATCTGGCCTCCTCCCTCTTTGAAACCACGGGGGCGTCCTCGCTATGGCCTCGTCCCCACTTCGATACGCAGGCTCATTCTCTCCTGCGCCTTCCTTGCATCCTCTCAGATCTCGACGTAAATAGCACCCCAGGTCCCCCGCAGCCCGGCCCCGTCCCTTTGTGTGGGGCGCTCGCTGCAGCGGGCTCGGAGGCTTCCGAAGGCCCCGCCCCGGGCCACCAAGGGGCGGCTCGAGCCCCGCACAGCCCCGCCCGTTCCGGGGCTGCGGGAGTCTTACCGGGGAGAGCTGCGCGGCACCAGAACCCAGACCCGAGTTACCCCCCGCGCGAGTGCCTCTGCCCCGCGGCCGACAGCCCCAGCCCGAACGGCTTCCCGGAGCCCACCGCAGCCAACACCTCCTTCGCTGCTTCACAAAATGGCCGCCGGCCCGGTCCGCGGCTCCGCGTTCCAGAAGGGGCGGGACGGAGTGGGTTGCGTCACGGGTACGCGCAAGCGCGGTGAAGTTCCTAGGCAATCTCCCGGAAGTTGCCGATGTTTGTGCTTAGAGGGGCTTTCATTCTGTGCTTGGGACATTTGCGCAGCAAGCCAGGCCTTAGGCAAATGGCGCTGCGCAGTGGGATGAGTGCCGGCTCCGGCCCTCTCTGCGGCACTTTGTGCAAATTGCGTCATTTCTTTTGGCCTCTGCGAAAGGTGGGAGGTTGTGCCTATCTCGAAGAATTGAGGATTAAATGGACCACAAAGTGGTGACTACTTCTATTGATAATGGCCTGACAAAAGACCCAAAACCTGATTCTTTTTTTTCCACTTAAAAATTTCAATGGGGGGGGGCAATATACGTAACCTTAACATTTATACTCCCATAATATGCTGAAATTAAATTAAAAAAAATTCAATCCAGGCCTGGCGTGGTGGCTCATGCCTGTAATCCTAGCACTCTGGGAGGCCGAGGCAGGAGGATCGCTTAAGGTCAGCCTGAGCAAGAGCGAGACCCTGTCTCTACTAAAAATAGAAATTAATTGGCCAACTAAACATATATAGAAAAAATTAGCCGGGCATGGTGGTGCATGCCTGTAGTCCCAGCTACTTGGGAGGCTGAGGTAGAAGGATTGCTTGAGCCCAGGAGTTTGAAGTTGCTGTGAGCCAGGCTGATGCCACAGCACTCTAGCCCAGGCAACAGAGTGAGACTCTGTCTCAAAAACAAAAAGTACCACCTCAATAAAGCTTTCCTAGAACACTCAGCATGGTATGTTCTTCCCTGTTATTTCTTCTTACTACTTTCTTTCATAGCACCTATCACAATCTATAACATTGTTTACTTCTTGTTTTCCATCTCTCCACTAAATGAAAACTCAATACGGGGTCCTTTCTGGTTCTGTTAACCAGTGTATCCCCAACACCCAAAACAAGTCTGGCTCCTAGCAGGCATTCATATAACTGTTGGGTGAAGAGATACGAAAGCCAACTGAGCTATCTATGGAAATTAGGTAGAGTGGTGGTCTTCTCCATAATTCCTAAGTAAAGTTCCACTTCTCCTTCAGCTTCTCATAAAGACACAGAGTAAATAGAAGGTGAGTTTATTTCTCTAATCTTCACATTGACAAATTTTAAGGAAAGAAACAAATTATGAGAATAATGAGTAGAGTTGTACGGATGATTTTTAGCTCTTTTCCGTTCTTTTGACTGGAAGGAGCATGAGAACAGAAAGGAGACAAGCCTTCTAAGAAACTTGCCTTTTGGTCTATAGTCAATATGAAAACATGTCCTTTGGAGCCACAAAAAAGATTAAATTGCAGTTGATTATGCTTGTTGCTGAAGAAGCCAGTCCAGCTGAGCAGCAGAAAGCAACAACTCAAATGTCCATACAGAGCCTTGAAGTCCCTGAACAAAGAGCCTTCTTCCAGCTCCTCTTGCTCTCCCCACCAAGGACACACATAGGTCCAGCAGCAATATCACAGCAAATGTCTCTACTGCTTCAAGATGAAAATGTCCACACACTATATTTCCAGAGAAGAACTCCTGGAAAGAAATGGGGAATGTTCCCCACCAAAGAGGATGAAGCTGGGGAAAGATGGTTTCCTTGAGTTTCCATCATAGAGGTAAGCTAATGCTTCAGTAAATTGGGATATACCAATTCTGGAGCATCCATGGCGCATAACAAGGTGCCTGTCTGCGTGGGTTGTTGTGGCAGGAGGGGCCAGACCAGCATACAGTCAGGGGCCCAGTCTTCTAGTGTTGGGTCCACTTGATGCTCTTGAGGTCAATGCCATCCTGAACCATCTCCCAGAGTGGGCTGCCAAAGAGAAGAGATATTCGATGAGTAAGGGTTTAGACAGGTACCAACATTGGCTCTAAGGCCCTGAGCGATGACTTATCTTCTTTTGTCCTTATCTCTCCTTTGCCTTTTGCCCTGGTAAATCCTACAAGTGGTTAATAAAAATTTTTCAGGTAGCTGTTAGTCATCCTCAGTTCTATCCTCTCCCCAACTGCCACCAAACAAACAGAAATAACTAGGTCCCTCAGGCTCAAATGCCATGGGTCCATGAGCCAATGAGCCTCAGGCATGATTATATTCTTGAATTTCTCGTCCCACTTGTGAGGAGACTACGGACACAGTCTTACTAGAGGAACCAACACCCTTGGGACCTATATAAGCAGCAAGTTTCAGCCTTTCTACTAAAGCCCACCATCACTTATAGCCTACTTTTCAGCACTTGTTTTGGGGTTTTGTTCTAGTTCTCAGTTAGGGCTGGAGCTTAGCCATAAATTCTCTGAGTATGCAGTGTCTTTACCCAGTTCTTGCCAGCTTGATCTCTCCGGAGTTGGACTATGCTTCCTACATCCTTGGCTCCAATCCAAAAGAAACTCCTGGATCCCATCTCCCACAGGAGCTGCTGCTGAGAAATCTCTGCTAAGCTCTGATCCCCTTCAGCTTGGATGTCCTGGATAATGTTCTCAGACCAGACATTACTTCAGTCTGCTATGAATGTCAGATTTGGTAGTTTAGATTTCCCTAGGTAATTTTCTTCTATCAAATTTCATTCTAGGCTGGGCGCGGTGGCTCACGCCTGTAATCCTAGCACTCTGGGAGGCTGAGGCGGGAGGATTGCTCTAGGTCAGGAGTTCTAAACCAGCCTGAGCAAGAGCGAGACCCCGTCTCTACTATAAATAGAAAGAAATAATTGGCCAACTAATACATATAGAAAAACTTAGCCGGGCATGGTGGCACATGCCTGTAGTCACAGCTACTCGGGAGGCTGAGGCAGAAGGATTGTTTGAGCCCAGGAGTTTGAGGTTGCTGTGAGCTAGGCTGATGCCACGGCACTCACTCTAGCCTGGGCAACAAAGCAAGACTCTATCTCAAAAAAAAAAAAAAAATTCATTCTGTTCTGGGCTTATCTCTCTCCTTTACGTTATGCATTACCAGAATACCTTTCTATTATTTTCCATGGCCCTTTAACGTTAGCCATCTCCTTCCTGTCCCTTCTCTTTGGGGAAGTTTACTTATTAATATAGGCTCACAAAACATGGCTCTGGTTGAAGACTAATGGGACCAGGCTGAATTCAATTTGTAAAGGGTGAGAAGGGATAGGATATAGATGCTGAAGCAGGCAGATTGCTTGAGGTCAGGAGTTTGAAACCACCTTGAGCAAAAGTGAGACCCCATTTCTACTACTACCCCGTCTACTACCCCGTCTCTACTATAAATAGAAAGAAATTAATTGGCCAACTAATATATATAGAAAAAATTAGCCGGGCATGGTGGCGCATGCCTGTATTCCCAGCTACTCAGGAGGCTGAGGCAGGAGGATTGAGCCCAGGAGTTTGAGGTTGCTGTGAGATAGGCTGGCACCATGGCACTCACTCTAGCCTGGGCAACAAAGCAAGTCTGTCTCAAAAAGAGAATCCGGCCGGGCCGGTGGGCTCACGGCCTGTAATCCTAGCACTCTGGGAGGAGGGCGGCGGATTGCTCAAGGTCAGGAGTTCAAACCAGCCTGAGCAAAGCGAGACCCCGTCTCTACCATAAAAAAAATAGAAAGAAATTAATTGGCCAACTAATATTATATAATATAAAAAATCAGCCCGGGGCATAAAAAAGACAGTGCTAATACACACACACAGAAAACTAGAAGACAGAAGATTATAAGACTACCTAACACAGAATGTAACAGATATAGTGACAGAGAACACACCACCGGCACTCACTCTAAAACACAACAAAGAACGGAACATGTCTAAAAAAAAAAAAAAAAGAACCTAATACATCATAGGGATTTTCTATAGTAGTCTAATAAAACACATTATATGTATTGATATTGTTGCAATGACAATGATTAATATCACCATAACAATAATAAAAAATACTACCCACATTTATGTAGTTCTTTTTTTTTTAACTTCCAACCCCACCAAGTCTATATAGTTCTTTAGTTTTTATTTTATTTTATTTTTGTGAGACAAAGTCTCACTCTCTTGCCCAGGCTAGAGTGCAGTAGTGTCGTCACAGCTCACTGTAACCTCAAACTCCTGGGCTCAGGTGGTTCTCCTGCCTCAGCATCCCAAGCAGCTGGGACCACAGCCACATGCCAACAAACCCCACTTATTTTTCTACTTTTTGTAGAGACAGGGTCTCTCTATGTTGCTTGGGCTGGTCTTGAACTCCTAGACTCAAGTGATCCTTCCACTTTGGCATCCCAAGGTGCTAGGATTACAGGCATGAGCGACTGCTCCTGGCCTAGTGCTTTAGTTTTTAAAAAGACTTTCTCATTTTCTGAAAACAAGTAGCCAAGGAGATCCACTTTGTTGCTTTGTGGAAGTCTCTAAATCTTAAAATCCAAGTACTCTCATACTCTGATTTTTGGCAGTATGAACACATAGCCTAAGGGCAAGAGAGTAGACAGCACTACAGTTTCTTCCAAAGGGTCTCTGATACAACAGTTTATACCTCATTTCTCGAAGACGCTTCACATGCTGAATGCACTTCTCTGCTGTATAGTCCACTTCCTCCTCTGTAGTGAAGCGGCCGATGCCAAACCTGATAAAAGCACAGGAGAAGAGCTCTGCATCAGGGTCTGGCACTAGGGTGAAATCATTCAGCAAATACTGAGGATGTACTACACAAAAGACATGGAGAGAAGAATATGATCCTTCCCCTCTAGGCAGAGTTTCTCAGAACAAGGTCTGTGGACCACCCACATTAGAATAACCAAGAAGTTTCCTACTCTTCCTCCAGACCTAGTGAATCAGAATATCTGAGTATGGGATTCAGAAAACATATTTCACAAACTTCCCAGGTGCTACTCAATTAAGTCTGAGAACCACTGCTCTAGAAACTCCCACAAGGAATCGAGAAGAAACAAGGAGAACCAGACTGAGAAAGACTATAACAGGAGATAAAAATTGAAGAGGATGCCTTTCATATATATTGAAGCTCAACTCACTGACCTGATAGAAGAGTGTGCTAAATCCTCATCAGTGCCAATTGCTCTAAGGACATAAGAAGGCTCCAGGGATGCAGAGGTGCAGGCACTGAGGAGAGAAACACAAGCCTTCAGTTCATCATTAATATATGCTTTCAACCACAAATGCTCCGTCTTCTTCCATCCCCCAGGACCTTGGAGTTGTACCATGAAGACAAAAGAGACCTAACCTGGCAGAGCTAAAGGGCCTGATTCCATCCTGCACATCCTGGGATGTGTGCCTAGCTCCTCTGGCCCCTATGGTAGATAACCTCCTTGAGCAAGGACACTGCCAAGAAGGGACAGCACATGATACCACAAAAGCTGGATTTGACAACAAGAGGCAGCGGAGGACCATGTGCTCACTTCCATGGGACAAAACACACTAGCCTAAAGGGCAGTTAAACCCCTGGTGGGTTTAACTTTGAAGATGCTCTTTGGAGCATCTTCAATTCTGGAAGCTGGCAATAGAAACTGCTAGCATGACCCTAGAACAGATACATATATCCTCTAGGACCATGAAACAACATTCTATCCCAAGACGTCCTCCCTGGGTGGTAAACTTCAGCCTGTGCCCAGCCAGCCAAAAAATAGGTGTTTACAAAATGACCTTTACCCGGATGTGAGGGTGATCTGGCTACAGCATCTGTTACCCCACTGATTGTCAGGGTTGATCCGGCTGATCTGGCTGGCTAGGTGGGTGTCTCCTTCTTCCCTCAGCTCTCCATGTACATCCCTCCTGAAGCTGTGAGCTTAGTCAAAGAGGACAACCTTCTCCAATAGAGGACCATTCTTCAGTCAAGGATATACGAGTAGCTGTGCTCCCCTGCTAGAACCTCCAAACAAGCTCTCAAAATGACCTTTACACTTAATCAAGAGTTCCTGTGCCTGTCATCTCCATACTTGGAATCTTAATAACCTATATAGCACTTAGAAGCCACTCTGGGCTGAGCATAGTGGCTCACGCCTGTAATCCTAGCACTCTGGGAGGCCAAGGCGGGAGTGGTCAAGGTCAGGAGTTTGAAACCAGCCTGAACAAGAATGAGACCCTGTCTCTACTAAAAATAGAAAGAAATTAATTGGACAACTAAAAATATATAGAAAAAATTAGCCGGGCATGGTGGCATGTGCCTGTAGTCCCAGCTACTTGGGAAGCTGAAGCAGAAGGACTGCTTGAGCCCAGGAGTTTGAGGTTGCTGTGAGCTAGACTGACACCACAGCACTCTAACCCAGGCAACAGAGTGAGACTCTGTCTCAAAAAAATAAAAAAGCCACTCTGCCACAGTCCCTATCTATTCTGTCCAACTTACCTTCCTGAGGATAAGGCAACATCCTTCAGTGCCATCAACAGACTCTCCCCTTCCACATATGCAAAGGAAAGGTTGATACAGCCTGGAGAAAAGAAGTACTATGAGAGAGGTCTCAAAGTCTCAGCGACTTCTAGAATGGGGATAGAAAGGGCACATCCATACCAGGGTAATGGTGCTCAGGGTCCCCATTCATCACCACATCTGGAAGGTTCTTCATTATCTTCTGTATCAGCCGCTCTGATAACTTTAAGATCCGCTTGTGGTCATACTAAGGAGCAGGCAAAGGAGGATTAAACATAGTGACCATAAATCAGCTCAGAAACACACAGTTCTAGAAGCCCTTCTCCTATACCCAGAAGTGGTTGTATATCAGACTCACCGATCACCCTATGTTACCTATGGAGACCACTGTTCCTTCAGCACTGAGCACAGTACCTGGTATGCAGAAGGTGCTCAATAACTGGACACAAGGTTCCAACAACATAGAAATAAATGAGCTGATAACTACTAAAAGGGTAGGGGTTATACAGGCCGTAATGCCTCCCTCAGAACACGGTGCCAGCAGCACCAGGACAGCAAAGAGTTTTCTTAAACCCTCTCTTCTGGCAGAGATCTGACTCAGTCATGCTGAGAAGCCTCTAAATAGGAGACCCAGGACAGGGAAAGAAGTTGTAGGAGGGAATTGCTCTCCCCATACCTCCATCTCTTGCTGTGCCACCTCACACGCAGCCCCCAGCCCCACCACTAAGGGTGTGGGCACTGTCCCAGACCGCATACCCCGCTCCTGCCCCCCTCCACTCTGCAGGGCCTCCACACGCACACGGGGCCGGCGACGGATGTAGATGGCACCAACCCCTGGGAAACAAAGTTTGTTACAAAAAAGAGAAAGAGAGAAACACAGATGAAACAAAATATTACTTTCCAAAGGGATCAATATATTATTCCAACTTTTCTATAAGTTTGAAATTTTTCTAAATAAAAAAAGTTGGCTGAATGCAGTGGCTCCTGCCTATAATCTGAGTGCTTTGGGAGGCCTAGGTGGGAGGGCTGCTTGAGGCCAGGAGTTCAAGACCCTATTGCTACAAAACATTAGCCCAGTGTGGCTAATTCCCAGCTAGACAGTCATAGCTACTTGGGAGGCTAAGGCAGGAAGATTGCTTGAGCCCAAAAGTTGAAGGCTGTGGTGAGCTATGATCCAGCCCACTGTATTCCAGCCTAGGTAACAGAGCAAGACTTTGTCTCTTTAAAAAAAAAAAAAAAAAAAAAAGCAACCAGGGTTCCTCTTCCTACTGGGATGGAGCACTGCCTAGAGGCCCTTCGCATTTAACCTTGTATATAATATTATATCCATTAAGAATGATATAGGCCGGGCGCGGTGGCTCACGCCTGTAATCCTAGCTCTCTGGGAGGCCGAGACGGGCGGATTGCTCAAGGTCAGGAGTTCGAAACCAGCCTGAGCAAGAGCGAGACCTCGTCTCTCTATAATAGAAAGAAATTTAATTGCCACTAATAATATAGAAAAATAGCCGGTGGTGGAATGCCTGTAGTCCCAGCTACTCGGGAGGCTGAAAGGCAGGGATCGCTGAGCAGGAAAGTTTGGAGGTTGCTGTAGCTAGTGACACACGACTCGGACCAGCTGGCAACAAGTGAACTGTTACAAAAAAAAAAAAAAAAAAAGAATGATATAATAATATTGAAAATTGGAACCTATAATGATAAATTTTTAATTTTGCTGGTGTACTCCCGGCGGGCGCCCGGAGCTTAAAAAAAAAAAAAAAAAAAAAAAAAAAAAAAATTTTAAATTTTTTTAATATTTTAAAAATTCAACTTTTGGGCCAGGAGCATGGCTCACACCAGTAATCCCAGTGTTAGGTATGGAAGGCAAGAGGTAGAGCCACCAGGAAGCAAATGCTCATAATGTAGCAAAATGCTATTTATTTTTGAGCATCGGGTGCAGATGGGTGGAGGCCCAAAAAAAGTGTCCTGAGAAAAGGGGAGAGAGCCTTGGGTTTTATAGAGGGTTTTTCTGGAGGGAGTAAAAAATTTTTCCAAAGAACCGGAGGGATATGAGAAAGTAAGTTCCTCTCTTGCATTCCATTCCTTTATCTCCCTACGGGAACAACTGGGAGGACAACCCGGCTAATACAGAATAGTCCTTATCAGGAGGGATAAGGAAGTAAGTTCCCCTTTTGGGTTTCATTCCCCTTATCTCCCTAGGGCCCTGGCAAAGCTAAGTGCCTAATACACCCCTAAGGAAGGGGAGAGTGAGATGTTTTTACAGGAAGTTTGATGAAAGCTTGGGGAGGTGAGTTTTTTAAGCCTAACATTCCACTCTTTTTATCATATACGTAAGAAAAGGAATGACAAGGTATGAAAAAGGAAAAATTAAAAATTAAGAAGATTGGGAAGCAGGCATTGTTGTCTTTCCCAGCAGGTTTCCTGCTAGTTTGTGAGAGAAGCAGCAAAGAGAGTAGGGAGAGCGCTCAAGATTGATCTTTGAGTTTATTAGAAAAATTAGGAGATTCAGGAAAAAGAAAAGAAATAAGATAAAAAAAAAAAAAAAGCAAAGCTCAGATCAGAACAATGAGTATATAATATGCTATCATCTGGATAAAAAAAGGGAAGAATGGAAGAGGAAGTATATATTGTCATTCCAAACCCGCCTAGAACAATTCTAGAAAATACCAGGAACTGCATGGCTAGAAGACACGAGGTGAGAGGCAGACTTTCCACCACTATTTTTTGGCCAGCTTTTGAATTTTGAACCGCATGTGAATATATTACTTTTTCTAAATAAAAAAAAAAAAAAAACAAGTGAGGGGGGAAAAAAAGCAGTAGATCAGAATAAAAGTGTAAGAATCAGCACAATCTCTCAGGGTCTATCAACTCAAAGGTTCATTGGTTTTATCAAAATAGATATATCTACAATAAAAGCAATAAAGGCAACATTTGGTTTGATAAAGACACAATGGCCTGTTGGGCTTTTTGAAACAAACTCATCACAAAAACTCTCTTATACTCCTGAGAACCCTTAGAGAGAAGCTATCTTTCATACTCCAAAAGCTATTACACCTGTTCTAAGGTATACACCCAGAAACAACACCCTACAGACACCAAAACTGTACTGGTACAGACATCAACCAAAAAGGGTCCTTCCTCGACAGACAACAGTGCTCCTTCCCAAGGGTTGGGAAAGAGACAGAACTAAAGCTTGAAAACATTCCCAGGCCAGTAGGACCATAGAAGACAGACAGGTATCCCTGAGAGACTATCAAGAAGCACAGACGCCTAAGTCTTCTAGGAACAAACACCAAGAAGATATAAAGGCCCATCACAATCCTCCCCTGAACTAAGGCAAGACACTGGGAATAAATGACTCAAAAGACTTTGCCAACCGCACATCATAGTGGGGCAGACAAGATAGCTGGACCTATCTAGATACGATAAAATTCAATTTGACAAACGCCTTGTTCCTCAACAAATTTAATCCTACCAGCCTTGTAAGGAATTTTGAAATGGGCCAAGGGAATAATGGCCTGCTATATAAGTAAACAGCTAGAGTCTAACAATAGGCAAGTGTTTTTGGCTATTGCTGAAATGACACCTCCATTCCTGCAGGGAACTCTGAATGTATAGCTTCCTCTGAGAGCAATTATACGTCCCAAATGACTCTGAGAAACATCCTGTCAAAAGTCTTGCAGGGCAGTACAGAGAAGAGAGGTGATCAAGGAGGGCCTGTTACCTTTGGGACCATAGATTTGTGACCACTGATGTCATGAGATCAATTTCATGTCATTGACATCAAGTGGGATTTTTCCAACAGCCTGGGCCGCATCAGTATGGAAATATACCTTTCTGGAACTGCAAATCTGCCCTAAAGAAACAGAGGAATTTTTGAGATGAGTCTTTATCCTAAAAAAAAAAAAAAAAAAAAGAAACAGAGGGAAAGACCCACAAGCTGAGAAGTCATCTGGCAATGATCCACAATGTACCACAAAAACAATCTCTACTTACAGTAAATGACTTCTGTCAATGTCAGTAAAATTCCTCCTCCTTCTCCCACCCCTCCCTTCCTCCTCCATCTTCCTCCATCACCTCTCCTACTCCATTCCCACTTTTCTCTTTTTCTCTCTTTCCTTTCACTGGAATAGAAAAGATGAAGGGCAAAGCACCAAATCAAAACACCTAACACATAACACATAAAATTCTAAACACATAAAATCTTGTACACCTAATTAACACAGCCTTCTCAATATGTCAGATTACCCGTTGTAGATACTTTTTGATTCTTTTTTTTTTTTTTTTGAGCCAGAGTTCTCGCTTTGCTGCCCTAAGGCTAGAGTGAGTGCCCATGGCGTCAGCCTAGCCCACAGCAACGCTCAATCTCCTAGGCTCAAGCAATCCTGCTGTCTCAGCCTCCCAAGTAGCTGGGACTACAGCCATGCGTCACCTATGCCCGGCTAATTTTTTCTAATATATATTAGTTGGCCAATGAATTTCCTTCCTATTTATAGTAGAGACGGGGTCTCCGCTGTTGCTCAGGCTGGTTTCCGAACTCCCCTGACCTCAAGCGAATCCACCCGCCTCAGCCTCCCCAAGAGAGCTAGGATTACAGGCATGAGCCACCACGCCCCCGCCGATACTTTTTGATTTTAAAAAAGAAAAGATTAACAGATCTTTTCGCCTAATGTCTCCTAAAGAGATTACAGGTGAGCTCTTAACTGAGGATCATAAAGAGATGTTCTAAAGGGAAAAAAAAAAATGAAAGGAGAAAAGGGTAAGAAGAGTATTCTTTGTTTTTATTGTTTTGTTGGTGTTTTGGGCAGAACAGGCATAAATGAAAAACTATGAAGGATACTAAGATCTGGATTCAAATACTAGCTATGCCCTTTCAGTATCCTTGGCAAACGGTAACTTAGGCTGTTCTCTCCCCCTTGATTCCTTACTGTGCTACAATAGAGTTGTTACAGCTCCTACATCTAACCGCCTGCGTCGCCTCAGATAGAACCCAAGTGATTGGACCAGAATCCAGGGTTAACAAAACCATAACTCACCTACTTTCTGCAATGTGCTGCTTCACTCCAATCTCCATTGTTCACAGTCATGACTGAGACCAGGCTATGTGTCTGCTGGATAGCAGCCTCTAGTTCCCTAAGAAAATGCAGGAGTAAGGAGACTATAGAGTACCAACCAAACTCTCCCTAAATTCAGAATGTAGCCAAGCTTAGTCTTGTAAACGAGGCCGTTACTACACCCTATCAGAATGTTAAAACAAAAAAAAATATAACAACACGAAATGTTGTAAAGAAGCAGAGAATTCTGATCATTTATGCATTATTGGTGGTAATATAAAGTCATAGCGACTTTGAAAAACAGTTTGGTAGTTTTTTTTCTTATAAAATGAAACATAAAATTATCGTACAACCCAGTAACTGCATTGTTATTTATTTATTTTAGAGACCAGAGTCTCACTCTGTTGCCCAGGCAAGAGTGCCCTTGTGTCAGCCTAGCTCACAGCAATTCTCCAACTCCTAGGCTCAAGCAATCCTCTGTCTCCTGCAGTGGCTCACGCCCTGTAATCCTAGCTCTCTGGGAGGCTTAGGCAGGCAGATGGCTTAAGGTCAGGATTCAAAACCAGCCTGACAAGAGCGAGACCTCGTCTCATATTAAAAAAAATAGAAAGAAATTAATTGCCAACTAAAAATATAAAAAAAATTAGCCGGGCATGGTGGCTCCATGCTTGTAAGTCCCAGCTACTCAGGAGGCTGAGGCCAGGAGATTGCTTGAGCCCAGGAGTTTGAAGGTTGCTGTGAGCTAGGCTGATGCCATGGCACTCTAGCTAAGGCAGCAGAGTG